CAGCAGGACGCCAGCCCTGTAGGACCAAGCCAACATGGGGGCGAAAACAGGTGAGAGATGTTTACTTAGACATGGATGTCTGACATTCAGCAGAGTGGCAAGAACACCCCCTAAAAATCCTAACCCTGGAAAGCCATTTTATCCATGTCTCCTAAGCTAAGGTTCATAAAAGCGAAAGAATTGTAGAAATCCAGCTGCCTCGTCTCTATTTACGGTCTTTGGATCGCGACTAGAGCCCCAAAAGGCAGTGAAATTAAGCTCCCCTCATGCGCTTGGTGCTCTAATGTCGGAGTTTGAAGCATTGGAGTTGGAGGGGCTTAAATCAACTTTTGTTGGGGTGCGCGCGCACAACGTCCAACAACAAATGGTGCGTTGCCCCTCTTGGATTTGTGGATTTTAAAACAAGGCAGGGAAAACTTGCATTCGTGGGCAGCTTTTGGAGTCCGACACTAACAAAGTGTCCCTGTGACACTTCAGGGATTCGATTTCCACCATCTCTTACCAGTTTCCACATTTGTCATGAAGTGAGTGCGCACACACACACACTTTTGAACTCCATGCATATCAGCTGGTGGCCAACTCATGATAATGAGTTTTCAGCACAGGGGAGGAGCTGGATGTCTCAGCTCATCACAATGGCAACCAGCTGGTAGCCTCTAAGGGGCAGGTGATCCCCCCTCTCCCGGAGGGCCACGCCCCGAGCAACACACACTGCACCCATGACTGTAGAGCTACAGCCACTCACCACATCAGTTACAGAAGAGAGCGCACTCCTACCCATGGACTGACGTTAGGTGTAACTGGTGCAGGGCTAACGGGCCCAATTGTGAGTTCACCCCAGTGCAGCACCAACTGCTCCCAGTGTTCCTGAGCCACAGATCAGCCAGCAGTGTAACCCGCTGCTTTTCTACAGCGGGGGTTTAAGCACATGCTTAAAGCTATTCACTTCAACAGGGAAAAACCAAGCATGCAGCCAAGAGCTGCCCGGAATAGGGAGGACAAACTGGGGCATGTGGAAATCGCCTTGGCGTGCTTACTGCGTTGCATGGCGTGCGCAGCGCAGGTGAGCAAGGAAGGAGACGCCATGTTGGGTCAGAGCAGTGTCCTGCCTGGGACACTGGCCTGTACCAGAACTTCAGGGAGTGTCTAGAAAAGCGTAAGGATGGCGTGATCCATCCACCTGCCCCTCCTGGTAGTCGGAGGCTTATAGAGTTGCCCCAAGCAGGCTTCTGGCCATGACGGCCAGTGTCTAGGGGGATGGATAAAAATCAAAGATGCTTAAAATTAAACACACACACACACACACACACACACACACACACACACCTTTTTAAAATCAATCCTACATTTCTCATTCAAAACCAAGTCACAGTTAAATCTCATCACCCCCACACGTGCAGCCAAACGGATGAATGGCTACTCGACTTTGGAAGCGCCGGAGGCCACAATGATACTCTCAGCACATGCCAAGGGCCGCAACTTAAGTGTGGTTGCATATACATGCAAATCTATATGCAAATCTACATGCAAATAGCTTCTTTCACACTGACGGGCATGAATACAAAGATTAAGGCAAGACTCTACAGCACACAGACCCCATTTAAGTCAGTTCTGTTGATATTAATAAAATGCAATATTGACCCGATTTCTACCCATATGACAGCACTTAATGAGCAATGACAGTCCAGGAATTTAACTACTAAAACGCATCGCAACAGAAGACCATTCTATTGGCTGCTACTTTGTTTTGGCTCCCACCTGCAGGCCGCATGTTGAACCCCACGTAAACCCAAACCGCCCCACGGACCACAGCACACAGGCCGCGGGCCACATGTTGAGTAGCCCTGCTCTAGCCTGTCCAGCTGAACTACCAGCTCTTGCTGCTTGAAAGTTCCAGACTTTCCACTTCTCTCTCTCTGCAGATTAAGAAGTGACACGTGCAAAGGAGGACAGGTCCAGCTGAACTACCAACTCTTGCTGCTTGAAAGTTCCAGGCTTTCCACTTCTCTCTCTCCGCAGACTAAGAAGTGACACGTGCAAAGGAGGACAGGGGCTGGACCGCATGGTATGTGCTCTGTGCTTGTGTGGTAGTGGAGCTGGGCCACGCATAGCACAGTAGACAGAGACACAACAGGCAGGGAAGAACGGAGGCAACACAGAAAGGAACCGTGGAGCGGACAGGAAAGAGAAGGGGAAAATATTAATCATCGCACACACAGCTTCCTCTAGTTCCCCCACAGAAAAACTCTCACGGCTTCTGGGATTCTTTTGTTCCTGGGTGGAAAAGGAAAACGTGTCAAGTGTAGGCAGGGCAAGAAGACAAGGCAGGGCCTCACTGCAAGGGAAACTGATTATTGGGAGGAAATGATGTGGCTGCAGAGGGGGATGTGGCTGAGTGGATCAACTGGTCAGTGTAACTCGATTCACAAAACGATAAGGAGTCCTGCATCACCTTAACCACTAATACATGTATTTGGGCCTCAGTTTCCATGGGTAAAAGCCCAATGCAGCATTCTTCAAGGCTGTGTCTGAGTGTAAGTGGGATTCGACAAGTAAATTCCCAAGCTGTTTGTTTTGTTGCATGTTGCTAGGGGGCGGGAGAAAAAAAAAACAACTTAGCTTAGCTAACCCTTAGGCCTTGTTTAATTAGTTAACTAGGTTCAGAATCCATCACTCGAGTACACAATACAGAGAGCTGCCGTAAGAAATCTAGAGTTGTCCAATGACACTGAGGTTCATTTTGTTATTTTCTAGGACGTAAGACTTGCCCCTTATTTTGGACCAGCACGGCCCCAGGCAGAACGGTGATGCCATAAGTCTGTTCCCTATTTAGTTCAGCATCACTCCGCTTTTCCAAGGGAGCCCCGTCTCCACTTGTTTTCTCAAAAAACCAGAAGTGCCAGTGAGTTCAATGGGACTTTCTCCAAAATTCAGAGCATTCTAAGCACAGTCAGCTTTGCTGGTAACTTGATTTAAATCAATCCACCCTGATAGCCAGGATGGATCTATCCTCCATGAACGTATCCAATTCCTTTTTGAACCCAATAATACGTTTGGCCATCAGAAGACCTGTCGGCGAGGAGTCCCACAGGTCACGGGTGCATTGTGTGGGAAAGTATTGGTCGTGCATATTAAACCTGCTGCTTATTAATTTCGTCAGGTGACTCCTGGTTTTTGTATTGCATGAAAAAAATTTTGTATTGCATCTCAATGTGGGCCAGACAGTCCGGGCTGGTGAAACAGGCTCCCCTGGGCTTCCTTTTGAACAGAAAACGATCCAGATTAATGACTCCCGACTGGTTTCTAGGCACGAGGATTGCTCTTGGCACCCCCTGGAATCCCAGTTCTAGATGGAGGTAAAATACAACAGAAGGCCCGGGGCCGTTTCCAGCCAAGGCAGACAGATCCTCATCAGCCACATCCATCGCTTGGTCGCGTACATGGGAGAAAGGGTTTGTAAGGCCTCAGGCCACATTCCCAAAGGTATCAGGGCTGCTCGTCCCACTTCAGCCACTCAGGAAGGACGCCACGTTTTGTGCCCTCTCGTGCAGGTTAAAGATTCAGAAACATTTCCAACCATAAGTGGCCAGAAGAAAACCAACGGGGCCACCACGGACCCAAACGCCAACGGAAACAGCGAAGCGCTGGCAAGAAATCGCAGCCCGTTGTTTAGGAGAAGCTGTCGGAGGCTTTAGCCTACACAGGAACATGCAAGAACGGAGGGAAGAGCTTTCCCCTGCACAGAGAATGGTGCCTCCGGCCCCCACCAGCGCAGAAGTGGTGGTGTCTATCGGCTCTGCTGTTAGCGAGACAGTTCATAGGTCACTGCTCTTTCCAAAGTGCGGCGTTGCAAGGGTTGTTTGTGTGTTTAACACACTAGCAGACTTACCCGGCATTGCCCGGGGCCTTCAGGGCAGGAGCCAGAGGGCTGGGAGGTTTGGGGGGTGCAGGATTCAGAGCAGGGGGTGGGATGCTCGGGGCAGGGGAGCTGGGTCTGAGGAGCCTCAGCAGAGCTGCCCGCAGTGGTGAGGTCAACACTGCAGCTGCCAGCCCCCTCCCCTGGCTCCTTCGGGAGGAGGGAAGGGGACTCTGTGACCCTGGTTGCAGACTTCTGGGTGGGGCCAGGGCTGAGTGGCCAAGCCTGGCCCCAGCAGGACCTGGGGAAATGGGGCAGCTCCTGGAGGGGAGAGCGGGGGGGGGGGGGCTGGGCCGGGGGGCCG